CCAACTTTTACTTCAATACAATTCATGGGTTAACTTGCACCCGAAATTTGGTAACATTTTAATAATATAGCGAAGTTATATAATAGTTTGGCTAATGTATACTACGCACGGTGTACACAAAAAATATAGTTCGGTAAAATTATACAGTGGGTGAAAAATATGTTTAAATATACAGGGTGAAATATACACTACTATAAAACTACACAGGGAGTGAAAATATTAACAAAATATATATATAAACTGGGGGGAAAATATATATATACTATAACAAAATATACGAGGTGGGAGTATACATAAAATATATGTATTTTGATGTACAACTTGTATAGCAGATTATTATTATTATTATTATTATTATTATTATTATTATTATGACGAGATGAATGAGGCTGAGAGTGAGATATGTACAGCATCTGGAGAAGGAGGAAGAAGGAAGTGAAAGGAAGGAGGAGAAGGAAGTGAAAGGAAGGAGAAGGAGGTATTGGTACTGTTCAAAACTTCGTCTCGGTTACATCTATCCATCTATCTATCTGTCTCCCTCTATCACTCCACTTTTATAAACGTATCACGAGCAAATTAGCAGCAGGTAAATAACAGTTCCTCCACCCCTAGGCACCAACACCTGGCGGGCTGACAGTTGGACCACACACACACACACACACACACACACACACACACACACACACACATACTACTTCTTGCACTGTCACTATGTTGAAATGCCCTGTAGTTTGAGCTTTTCCCCATCTAGTTATTATATATCTTATTTGCGTCACTTATGTTACTTGTATAATTTATAATTCGAAACCCATTCCCCAAATATGTAACTGTATATTTTCAGCCTTCTGGCTGCCAAGCTCTTTCAATAAACCGTTAATTATTATTATTATTATTTTTTACACACAAGGGCCTTTATATCCTGGACGTGAGACCAAACGGAGACATAAACACAAGGACCATATGCTTTCCTCATCAACGTGTAGTGGGGCAGTAATTAACTCCCCGCCCCTCTCTCTAAGACACCAGCACAACAACCCTATCTGTCCCTCTCCCCTTCAACCCTCCCAGTGTTGTGTAAATAATGCGCTGACGAGGTAGCCAATCAGCAGCAAGGGTGAGTGGGTGTATCACTTAGGGGTGTTAGGTCTCCAGCTCACCTTACAGGAAGCCACCCCCCTCTCCTGGTCACCCTACACCCTTAAGGCACCTCACTATTTGTTCACACGGTATACACACAAACATCATCACTGCCCTCTAAACACCTTACCGACGTCCCCGGCTACACTACACCCTATCTCTCGTCAGTTTTCCTTTCCACCTCGACGACACTCACCCTAGTCTACGCCTGATAAGTTCCTCACCAACCAGGTTCTGCAGTGGTGATATTGTCTAGTTAGTGGGATGATGGCACCAAGTCTTTCTGCTGGCACTAATAACAGTCTATCTAGTTAATTAGGACCCGCTGATATCGTCTCTAAGTAAAGTCTAGGTCACACACACACACACACACACACACACACACACACACACGGGTTCGCATGACAACACCGACGTCGCTTCTCCCCTACAGTGTCATCACCAGCTGTTCCTCCTCGCTGACCCGCACACGTCATCACTACAGTCACGTCACACTTCTGCCTTCAAACACGTCATCACTACAGTCACGTCACACTTATGCCTTCAAACACGTCATCACTACAGTCACGTCACACTTATGCCTTCAAACACGTCACCACTACAGTCACGTCACACTTCTGCCTTCAAACACGTCACCACAGTCACGTCACACTTCTGCCTTCAAACACGTCACACTTCTGCCTTCAAACACGTCACACTTCTGCCTTCAAACACGTCACACTTCTGCCTTCAATCACGTCACACTTCTGCCTTCAAACACGTCACCACTACAGTCACGTCACACTTCTGCCTTCAAGATTGTCATCAAAGTTCGTAGGTTAGGGCTAGGTTAGGTAGAGAGGGGAGGAAGAGCGGGAGGAAAGGAGGAGAGGGAGGAAGAGGAGGAGAGGGAGGAGGAAGAGGAGCGGGAGGAAGAAGAGGAGCAGGAGGAAGAAGAGGAGCAGGAGGAAGAAGACGAGCAGGAGGAAGAAGAGCAGCAGGAGGAAGAAGAGGAGGAGCAGGAGGAAGAAGAAGAGGAGCAGGAGGAAGAAGAAGAGGAGCAGGAGGAAGAAGAGGAGGAGCAGGAGGAAGAAGAAGAGGAGCAGGAGGAAGAAGAAGAGGAGGAAGAAGAGGAGCAGGAGGAAGAAGAGGAGCAGGGGGAAGAAGAGGAGCAGGAGGAGGAAGAGAAAAGAAGCAGGAGGAAGAGAAGAGGAGCGGAAGTGAGAGCCGTGACCCCCTTGACCCCCACTGAGGATGAAACAGGAGGCGTGGCACTGAGTAATTACCCGCCGGCCAGCAGGAGGCGGCGGCACCCAACACCATAAACGGTGCCATTGTGAGCTACCAACCCGCGCCGGACGTGACCCAACCACCCCACCACAATGCTGTCCTGTGTGGTGGCTCCCTGACTGACGAGGCCATAACTCTACCACAACAACCACCACAACCACTACAACTTCCACCACAATACTAACAATCACTACCACCTCCACCACAATAATAACCATTAACCCTCTCTAGCAGCACAATCACCACACCAACCACTACAACATCCACCACAATCACCTCCAATACCACAACCACCATCACAATACTGCTCTGCCTGGCTCCCTCACTGACACCACCACCACCAAGAATAAAATACAACAACCACACACGCACACACCGATTACAATACTCTCACTTATCTCCATTTGAGGACAATCTTACGGACGGACAGACGGTCTGAGAATTCCGTGATAAACCTTTAGAGCAGTGGTTCTCAACCTTGTTTGCCCCATGCACCCCTTTCACCATGTCAGAATGTCATTCCCCCCTCCTTTCCAAGATTGTCTGCCTCAAAAAGTGCATTCCAAATAATATGCATATAATACTGAAAATCCTTTATTTTTTCCATATTAGTATCAGTTCCCCCCCCCCTGAAAACCTGAGGGGGGAAATTCCCCCCTGGTTGAGAACCCCTGCTTTAGAGCATACTGTACACTTGAACACTATATTATTGAATGTGACACTCAAAAGACTTCAGGCCACCTGGTTTATTGTATCTTGAACTATGTAATTATTACATTGAATCTTGGGTGCTTGAGGACATTCTTGCTGTTTATCCCAAATTTGCTAGCCCACACTGATTAGTCCTCAAATAGAATATGACTCCAATGTATATGAACCACTGTCTTGCATGGGAGTGAACACTGACATCACTCACATGAATCTGATATATATATATATATATATATATATATATATATATATATATATATATATATATATATATATATATATATATATATATATACACACAGTATACTGTTAATGAATATGATGTATTTCTTTGCATATGAACCTCTGTCCTGCGTGGCAGTGAGAAGTGATACCACCCTCAGTGTCAAGACCAGACTAAATTACTCAGAATAGGCAAACTGTACTACAAGCTTTGCCAATAAATTTGTTAAACTAAAAACCGGGTCAATTTTTTATCCCCCGAAAGAGCTGGAGAAGAGGAGGAGGAGGAGGTGAAACAGGAGGAAGAGGAAGGAGGGGGAGGGAGGAGGAGAGGGAGAGAGGAGGAAGGAAGATGAGGAGGGAGGAAGAGGAAGAAGGGGAGAAGGTGGAAGAAGAAAGAGGAGGAAGAATAGAAAGAAGAAGAGGAGAAGAGCGAAGAGGAAGAGAAACATCAACAAAATAAGGTCTGTACAGCAGGCATCACATCCCGGCAATATAAGACTCTCTTGGTCCATCATCAAACACTTCACTGAGGCTGTGTTATATATAGTCTTTTACTCCTTACTTCTAAAAAAATAACCGGAAATGAGAATAGAAATCGGTGGGCATGGTACAGTAACCGGTGGGCATGGTACAGCAACCGGTGGGCATGGTACAGTAACCGGTGGGCATGGTACAGTAACCGGTGGGCATGGTACAGTAACCGGTGGGCATGGTACCTGTAACCGGTGGGCATGGTACAGTAACTGGTGGGCATGGTACAGTAAACCGATGGGCATGGTACAGTAACCGGTGGGCATGGTACAGTAACCATGGTACAGTAACCGGTGGGCATGGTGGTTACAACCGGTGGGCATGGTACTGCCGGTGGGCATGGTACTGTAACCGGTGGGCATGGTACTGTAACCGGTGGGCATGGTACAGCAACTGGTGGACATGGTACAGCAACTGGTGGGCATGGTACAGTAACCGGTGGGCATGGTACAGCAACCGGTGGGCATGGTACCGGTGGGCATGGGTTGGTACTGTAACCGGTGGGCATGGTACTGTAACCGGTGGGCATGGTACAGTAACTGGTGGGCATGGTACAGTAACCGATGGGCATGGTACAGTAACCATGGTACAGTAACCGGTGGGCATGGTACAGTAACCGGTGGGCATGGTACAGCAACCGGTGGGAATGGTACAGCAACCGGTGGGCATGGTACTGTAACCGTGGGCATGGTACTGTAACGGTGGGCATGGTACTGTAACCGGTGGGCATGGTACAGCAACTGGTGGACATGGTACAGCAACTGGTGGGCATGGTACAGCAATCGGTGGGCATGGTACAGTAAATACAGGTGGGCATGGTACAGTAACCGGTGGGCATGGTACAGTAGTACAGCAACCGGTGGGCATGGTACAGTAACCAGTGGGCATGGTACAGTAACCGGTGGGCATGGTACAGTAACCAGTGGGCATGGTACAGTAACCAGTAACCGGTGGGCACAACCGGTGGCCGGCGGTGATATTGTAATACTAGGGTAAATAAACAAAATATTTGAAGAAAAAAATGCTTATGTAGCTTTAGAGCCTTGTGGTGGGTGGGTGGGTGGGTGGGTGGGTGGGTGGGTGGTGTGTGTGGGTGGGTGTGGGTGTGTGTGTTTACCTGTACTCACCTGGAGAAAGCAGTCCATGACGCCGCACAACACCATCCTTACTGAGACACACTAGTATAGCATCACTAGGCTATCCTCTGCTCTGCCTCGCCTTGTCCTTCCCCACACCACCAACACCCACAACGCTGGGTTAGGTTGAGACTGCGGCAGGAGTGAGGCCTTAGAGGGCGGTGGTAGGCGGGGAGAGGAGGTGACCAACACTTCCTGAGGGAGGCACCGTCCAGAGGAACCCCGCGTGGAGTGAGGCACCGTCGGTCAGCAGCTGCCCCTCACACACTCACTCACTCATTGTACCCTCGTTTATCCTTGAGGTTGAGGTACACCCATCAAGTCGTCCTCCACCAAGTATGACTCCAGTGTCTGTGTGCTACGTGAGACAACGACGCTACCACTTGATATATACTGTATATATAAGGTTTTCCTGGACCAGTTTACATTATACAGTCACTATATATTTTTTGTCATTTCAATTAATTAACTTCTTTGCCAAACGCTTGTACGACGATGACTATACATTAATATGAGTTAGGGAAGGGTTACACACACACACACACACACACACACACACACACACACACACACACCCCAAAGTGCTAACAGACGGAAGTGACTGATTCACCCCACTACCGAACAGACAAAAGGAATTCGACCCATTAAAGGACAAATTTACGGCACGCGTCCTCCTATAACAGACAGGATCACGACAAGGGAGGGAGATCATAACACGAGCGCTAATTCACGTAAACAAAGTGCACACACATAAATCGTCGACTTCATTACTAAACGTCCATTATACCGAACAGTTGAGGCAGAGAGAGAGAGAGAGAGAGAGAGGTGATCAATGGACTACCTTTAGGCTAGCAAGTCATTAAAGAGGCTGTGTTGAGGTCACCCGCTCACCGCCGCCTCACGTGCTGGGATGTAAACAAACCGTCATGCAGATGTGTCCCATATACTGTATGCCCTCATGACCGATACCTAACCAAAACAAGTCCGAAAACAAGCCTACAACATGTCCCTAACGAGTCTACAACATGTCCGGAACACAGCTAAATATCCCAAACACGTCTAAAACATGTCCAAAACAAGTCCCAAGCACAGCTAAAACGTGTCCTACAACCCCCCACATAATCCATAACACACATTCACAACGCCAGGTGAAGGCAGCGTGAACACCGTGTAATTACCCACTAAACGACAACTGAATATGCCACTTTGTTCACCAGTTTGAGAGCGTGGGAACCCCTGACCCACTTGCCAATCATTCCGTCCACCCACCCACCTTCTGTCCACCCACACCCTGTCTACCCACACCCTGTCTGTCACGCTAAATGAGCTAAACGTCTCCGCCAACCCTCGCTTATTAATGTGGTTCATCTGATTTACATACAGACTAAAACTAGGCAACATGTCACCCCCTCCCCGCCCCTAATGCGCGCACGCACACACACACGCACACACACCAAATTAGCAGTTTATCATTATTATTAATATTATTTAATTTCATATACGAGTACGGTAACAGTATTGAGGCTAGTATGGGTGTGAGTGACAGTGGTTGAGTGACGGAAGTGTGGAACAACGAGTGACACTGTGCGGATGGGCGTGGAGATGTACTGGGTCGTGGATGTATGGATGGTGTCGGATGAGTGGGTGATGACAACACACACACACACACACACACACACACACACACACACACACACACACCACCGGAAATTACTTCACCCTGGGGGAACACACAGGGTGGGGAAAGGAGGAGGAGGAACGTGAGAGAGAAAGAAAGAAAGAAAGAAAGGAGGAGGAGGCTGACACACACTGGGAACAACGGTGGAGGCACACATCAGTCAACAAGGGGGAATGAATGGCTAGGTACACCTCACCCACCATGGTAAAATATACACCTACTCACACACACACTTCACCCTCCCCCACTCACCCCACCCCACACACTTCACCCCACCCCCCACACTTCACCCCCACACACTCCTCACACACACTCCCCCACTCCCACACACTTCACCCTCCCCACTTCCCCCACCCCACACTTCACCTCACCACCAGGTGGGTGGTGGTGGGTCAGACATGGGTGGTGGTGGGCCAGGCAGTGGGTGGTGGTGGGCCAGGCAGTGGTGGTGGTGGGCCAGGCAGTGGGTGGGTGAAGGCAATGTGAGCTGGCCTGTAATTACCTCCAGCCCAAATGCCGCTCCCATCACACGTCCTACATGACACCCCCCCACCCATCACCCCTCCACCTTTAACACACAACCTCCCCACCAGACATGACCCCCAACCTCTCCCACCAGTAACACACCCCCCAACCCTCCCCACCAGTAACACATGACCCCTCTACCCCTCCCCACCACACATGACCCCCAACCTCTCCCACCAGTAACACATGACCCCAACCCCCCCCACCAGTAACACATGACCCTCTACCCCTCCCCACCAGTAACACATGGCCCCCCAACAGCAGGTAACACCACTACCTATACGGCCACAAGCTTGGGAAGACCATTTCCACGTGTAAACATAACCAGAGGTGCGGTACATCCACACCGTCTCAAGTGTTCACCCACACCGTTACTCAAACACTTCCACACACACACACACACACATACACACACACACACACACGTGACAAACACCGCCAAACAGACAGCTTCACACACGCACATACAAAGCTGTTACACACACACACGTGACAAACACCGCCACAGCATCACACACACGCTACTTCCTCTTCCCGGATATAACATGAAAGCCTCTGTTATACCTACCGGAACACCTCCACCTGCAGTGTTATGCAAATCATCTCCCGAAAAAATAATAACAACAATGGTAGGTGTAGTTATAATATAATATAACAAAAATAATTACAATGCCAATGGTCGGGGCAGTAGTAATAATAATAATAATAATAATAATAATAATAATAATAATAATAATAATAATAATAATGTATATAATCTTCTCAAGTCAACTTTTAGCATTAAGTCAACCTGTCAATAATTTCGGCCGTGTTTCGTAATTTTTTGTCAGTGGTGAATGACTATGACGATTAAAATGGTGATGTAATGTGACATGTCAATATTCAGATGAGTTCGTGTATTGCTTAATAGTGAATCTATGGACAACTCTCTCTCTCTCTCTCTCTCTCTCTCTCTCTCTCTCTCTCTCTATATCCTCAGAGAAAATCCTAACCAGTTCATCTCCACATAAAAAAAGGATAATTTTGTTCAACTCGTATTATTATTTTTTTATAAGAATCATGTTAACAGCAGTTCACAATTTCATGAAAAAAAATATTCCAGAGCTAAAAAAATAAATAAAATAAAAGTGTAAAATTCTGTCAAGTTTAACAGCATAAAACACGAAAATTTACAAAGGTAATTAACATGTGAAAAAATTATGTACACACAATTTCATCAACCAACACAGACAGACACACACAACAATAGCAAGAGAGTGTGTGTGTGTGTGTGTGTGCTGCGTAATACACAATGGAGTGGCACATCTGTGGACGGGTGTGGCACGGTCAAGAGTCGAGCCGGCACCAACCTCCCATCACCACCTTCACTAAGATCATCAATACAAGTGATCCTAACCCAACCCAACCCCAACCCAACCCAACCCAACCCAACCCAGTAAGACCTAACAAATTTATTTATTGATGTTTAGATTAGAATTATATAAATTATTTCGTGTCGTTTCATTCTGGGGTCGAGATTCCTAGATTTTGTGCCTAACACGCCACTCCACCGCACACACACAACCCCCTACACTCTTCATATCATCACTACAAAAAACACTTCATTACACCAGTCAGTTCTACAAAAAAATTCCACAAACGGTGTCACTACATTTTCCAGGTCAGTCTCAATTCACACAATGTATTCAGCGAGACAGTCTATTGCAAACTCTCTTTTTCTGCATACATTTGGCGCGTCTGTTTTCTGTTCACTCTTCGGTATATTCAGTTCCTCAGTTCATGGTTCGGGAAGACAAATTACTCACACCAGTTCCTTAGTAACCACGGCGGCACGTCCTTACTACTTATATACCTCACTAAAGGACGGACACAAAACACACCCACTGGACGGACAAACGAACACAAAATCACACCCGACGGACGGACGAACACCAATTCACACCCGACGGACGAACACAAAATCACACCCGACGGACGAACACACACGCAACAAGCTCGGGTAATATCGAGAGCATTGGTGGTAAGTGGAGAGAGAGGGTCAGTAGTGCTGTCTATACCCCTAATACACAGTGATGACTATGAACCGACCGAGAGAGAGAGAGAGAGAGCAGTCCTGGTGACCATCACACACGGCCCGCTACTCACTCACTGACTGCCGGGTCTTCTTCCTCCCCACCACCACCACCGTCACCAGCACCACCAACCAGCCAACAACCCTCCTCCTCCTCTCACTCCTGCCGCCACCCCGGTACATTACTTAACGCCTTCAGTATTAACCCCAGTGGTGGCTCATGCTCGGACACCTCCACACGACAGAAGGGGGCTCATGAGGTGAGTGTATCATGAGAGAACGTAGGCACAGTGACAGGAGGAAGGGGGCAGGGGGAGGAAGCGGGCAGGGGGGAGGAAGGGGGCAGGGGGGGGGGAAGGAAGGGGGGAGGGAGGGAAGGAAGAGAGGGGGTGGAGGGAGGATGTAGGGAAGGAAGAAGGGTTAAAACAATCACCACCACCACATTGAAAAGGGGAGAAAATCATGACTACCACACCACCAACAACCACACTACCAACAACCACTCTACCACACTACCAACAACCAATCACTAAGACCCCCTGACGGAGACACGATGATCCTCCCCATACTGGCCAGATATTTTGTAAATTATGTGTTAAAGGAATATCCTTCCTTCCTTAGGCTTTAGTAAGCCCCTTTATAATATTTATACTGTATATACTTGTCACACTTGCCAGATGCTTCTGGCATCATTGTACAGGGGTACCTGGTGACAGCACTAGGATCCCGCTTCCTCTATCAAGGAATAAACAATTGAAATTGAATCACTAAGTACACACGGATGATGAACGGAGAGGCAGAAGCTCAGAAAATGACTGTTGTAATAATTATAAATCTGACATAAGTGGTAGTCCGCCTCCACCCCCAAGATACCTTCCCACCACACCCACTCAACCCCCTTCCACCCACATACCCCCCCCCCCAAAACCCCACCCATTGCCCTTTCCTCTCACCACCGATAAAGCCACCCAACCCAAATACATATTCACCACTCTACTCACCACCCTCTCATCCACCTATTGGTCATCCATCCAACCACACGCACCCACCCATCCATACCACCATCCCCCGAAAACGTTCACCCACCACCACTCCTAACCACAGAGTATAGTTCTAAGCAGCGAGATGCATTGTAACCACACACAGACGGGTTCACTTGACTACAGGATAAGTTTTAACCTCCGGAAGCGTTCACTCAGCACCATAACCTTTAAGATCGGTTTAGCCAACTTCCT